GACTACAACTGTTATATAGACATGGTCCATGACTACAACTGTTATATAGACATGGTCCACGACTACAACTGTTATATAGACATGTATCACGACTACAACTGTTACATATACATGTTTCACGACTACAACTGTTATATAGACATGTATCACGACTACAAATGTTACATATACATGTTTCACGACTACAACTGTTATATAGACATGTATCACGACTACAACTGTTATATATACATGTATCACGACTACAACTGTTTTATAGACTTGGTCCATGACTACAAATATTATATAGACATGTACCACGACTACAACTGTTATATAGACATGTATCACGACTACAACTGTTATATAGACATGGTCCACGAATACAACTGTTATATTGACATGTACCACGACTACAACTGTTATATTGACATGCACCATGACTACAACTGTTATATAGACATGGTCCACGACTACAACTGTTATATAGACATGTATCCCGACTACAACTGTTGTATTAACATGCACCACGACTACAACTGTTATATAGACATGTAACACGACTACACTTGATATATAGACATATATCATGACTACACTTATTAGATAAACCGGTACCACGTCTACAACTGGTATATAAACCTTTACAAAATCCAAAACTACTTCATTGACCGATATAACGATGAATCGCGTACTCTTTGCCTGAATATTGATATATTCATTTCTAGAGTGCTTTTTTCAGTAAATATCTGGATTATGCGGCAGTAATACCCATTGTTTTTCTCAGTCGGAATGGTACAGGAGGTACTTACACGGCTCATTATACACCTGCAATTTAAATTGCAAATCCAGTCTGTATTCAATAGGTGGACTTACCTTCCAAATACTTGCCCAGTGTCATTAACGCTGATGAAATCCGACTAGCGAGCTGTCAATACATATATCCATTTCAGGTTTGACAAGTTCTAGACGGTAATCATTAACGTACATATCCACGATTACCGCCTGGTGTTTAAAATGTCCCTCAACAGAACCAGCATAACCAGTTTATGTATAGTTTTTCTTAACAATACACGTTTTAGTGAAATTCCTCCGAGATCCGTCACAACACACGGTAGACGTCGCTCTTTATGTCCGCAACTTATCCATATCTATTACTTTTACATTCACTGAAATCGACAAGAAATAATGTCAGCTCCGACACCAATTATCAGCAACAAACTGACCGTGTCCAGTTTAGTGTAGAACCTCTAAATGTCCTCTGTAAGTGTGAGGGTTTCTCGGTCTAATTACTCCAGACAATTACGCACCTGAACGTCTATACTTCATCTCCTCCTGAACGAGTTCCGGTCAATTTGCCCTCGCTGCGGGCGACACGTACGTATAAGCGGTTGGTTTTGTACACAGAGAGTATTTACAATACACCTGCGTTTGATAAAATGTTTTTTAAATAGCCATTGTATCGCGTATACTGTGCTATTACCTATGTAGTAGATATACTGTACCAGTATTTTGCCATCTGGTTTAGAGGACCAGCAAGCCCTGTAAACTGTGTTCCTGTTTACCCTAAGTACCAACAAATTTGATGCACAGTGTTCTGGCTAAGTTTTGAAGCATGTTATTGACTTGAAAGAATACCTGGTTGAATGTTAACATGTTGTAATGCTGACCTAAACGTATTCTTAATAATTAAATGGTACAAAGTAATTAAAAGAAAGATACGTTTTCTAACTGGCATTTAATGATAAACACTGGACGTTTTGTGATATATATTATTGTCATTAGATCACGAGAAATGCAACTGTAATCACTAATTAGCAATAATTTTGTTTAATGTGCATTCTATTTCAACCGATACGAGATCGACATTCCCGTTGAGAAATCAACTTAATTTCAAATGGGACATCATCAGCGAATTTCGGTAGATTTGGATATGCACCAATACAAATTCGGAAGAAAAAGTAGAAAATCGTCGGTATCATTCAATGTCCAAATGTGCTAGTATTGGCCTATACAATTACCAGGGCCGCACAGCCTCTCTAAATTAGACTTTTTACGTGAGATTGCAATCTTTCCATAAACGAGTATTTTCTCGTTTGCGGAAAGTGCCGACGGTTCCCGATTGTGCAGGAATACTGCCTTTTTACGCATTCTTAACCGTTTGACTGGTTAGACGCGGCTTTCTTAGTATAGTACTATAGTACTAGCATTATGTGTTCGCACATATTTTTATATATTGTTGCAGGCCACTGTGGTCTGAAGTTAATTTATATTCTTGTGAGTTTGGAAAGAAAGGCCCGAGCTGTCCGATATGGTTTCAAAGAATCATCGTAACAACGTACGTTTTTATTGTTATAATCTATCTATCTATTTAGTTGTTTTATTTATCAAAAAGAAGCGCGAAACTTTATAAATAACGCATAAGATAGCCGAATATAATCTCAAGAATGAACATAATACTTCTTGGGATCAAAGATGAATGTGTCACACCACGATTCAAGTATCTACTATCTACGAAAGAGGCTTGGAAATGATACGCATGTGATGACCACTCTCGACAGAGCTTATTATCTTTCATACAAACAGATCACCTCACAATAGACGGCGAGTGTTTGTCCGCGAATAGAATGTGGATCTGTTACAACACTTACCTCACAGGAACGGGCGAGATTACTAGACAAAAAGCAGCGACCCATTACCTTACAGGTGTTGATAGAGAGGACTGACCATCAACAATGGGATGGTATTGTATAGCACAGCAAGAGCATCACAGGAAAAAAGAGTATCATACACGTATACAAGTATATATATACGTAAACATACCCAAAATTCTGATTGCAAACCTTAAAATATTTGTCATGTCCGATAGTATTGTATAGCGCAGCAAGTTTATCATAGGATAATAGTATTTACCATGCCTCATGTTACAAACCCTGAAGTATTTATCATGCCCAATGTTACAAACCCTGAAGTATTTACCATGCCTAATGTTACAAACCCTGAAGTATTTACCATGCCCAATGTTACAAACCCTGAAGTATTTACCATGCCTCATGTTACAAACCCTGAAGTATTTACCATGCCCAATGTTACAAACCCCGGGGTATTTACCATGCCCAATGTTACAAACCCTGAAGTATTTACCATGCCCAATGCTACAAACCCTGAAGTATTTACCATGCCCAAAGTTACAAACTCTGAAGCGTTTACCATGCCTCATGTTACAAACCCTGAAGTATTTACCTTGCCCAATATTACAAACCCTGAAGTATTTACCATGCCCAATGTCGCAAACCCTGAAGTATATACCATGCCTCATGTTACAAACCCTGAAGTATTTACCATGCCCATTATTTCACAAACCCTGACGTATATACCATGCCCAAAGTTACAAACCCCGAAGTATTTACCATGCCTCATGCTACAAACCCTGAAGTATTTACCATGCCCAATATTACAAACCCTGAAGTATTTACCATGCCTCATGTTACAAACCCTGACGTATATACCATGCCCAAAGTTACAAACCCCGAAGTATTTACCATGCATCATGCTACAAACCCTGAAGTATTTACCATGCCCAATGTTACAAACACTGAAGTATTTACCCTGCCTCATGTTACAAACCCTGAAGTATTTACCATGCCCATTATTTCACAAACCCTGATGTATATACCATGCCCAAAGTTACAAACCCCGAAGTATTTACCATGCCTCATGCTACAAACCCTGAAGTATTTACCATGCCCAATGTTACAAACACTGAAGTATTTACCATGCCTAATATTACAAACCCTGAAGTATTTACCATGCCCAATGTCGCAAACCCTGAAGTTTTTACCATGCCTCATATTACAAACCCTGACGTATATACCATGCCCAATATTACAAATCCTTAAGTATTTACCATGCCCAATATTACAAACCCTGAAGTATTTACCATGCCTCATGTTACAAACCCTGACGTATATACCATGCCCAATATTACAAACCCTGAAGTATTTACCATGCCTAATATTACAAACCCTGAAGTATTTACCATGCCTCATGTTGCAAACTCTGAAGTATTTACCATGCCCATTATTTCACAAACCTTGAAGTATTTACCATGCCCAATATAATTTTTGCATGTACACAATTCGATTTTTGCCTATGCCAAATAACATTTTGAGGTATGCATCAAAAGATTATTATTTTGCATACGTATAAAGACAAACCAAGACCACCTACCCTTGATGGAACATTCTTGATATATTTATTGGAACGGATTCAGTTCTGGTATTGGTTGCTTCGAATGGTCATAAACCATGCTGAAAGAAATAAGATAGGTTTGGTTCTCATTTAATTCCTGATAAATTAAGACGGAAATTTGATATAACTTATCCACACGGAGTTTGTCCGAGGATCCGTTTATAGATTCAGGTGATTAACAAAGTCTTGGTACAAAGTTCGACAATACATCTCGTACAGTAGATTCACGTATGTTTTAACGGCCATTTTCTCGGTGCGTCCAATCATCAACCGAAGCAATTACATCGAAGACAATTGAATATATATTCACACAAAGCGACAGTTTATCATTGATTGGAAGAAAACGGCCGAAGTACATCCGATAGCAAACGCTTGATGCAAGTACTTTTCTTGAAATGTTTTCCGTGTGTTCCACACCCAAGAGCAATTAAAACATCAAACTATACCATTGTTTATACAGCACAACACCTCGATGTACAGCCACATGTAGCCAACAATAAAAAAGTGGCGTAAAAAAAGGAGATTTAGCAATATATGGCGAGGAATGCGTATTGAATAAATCGTAAAAATAAACAGAAAAAATGGACGTTCGCGACAAGCAAAGTGGCAAATGAAACGAATCATTTTATCAAGATTTTACTGTATAGTGATGAGAAAGGGCATTATACTGAGGATAGGCCCAAAATGGCATAAATTGTCGATTGGGCGAAAATCAATTCTATCAAAAATATAAACGGCTGCTATATAGTGATTAACAGGAGACATTATATCAAAGTTTTACCGTAAAGTGACAAATAATACATTTAATTGTATAAAGATAAACAAGGGTAAGTAAAGCAATGTTTTTTTATTTACCTACTGGTGTATTGTTACAAATCTAATTGAACACGATCAGTTCATATTAATTGCGCACGTAAATCGGCCGAAAGGGTCATTCACATCGATATAGCAAGGAGAACCACGCGTAAAACAGTACACACCATGAACGCATGAAAGTTCCGGAAGTGACATATCATTATCCAACAAACGGAGTCAAACAATGGACGACAAAGCCGGATTTAGCTAGTACTTTCAATGCCAATGGCATGTTGATTGTTTCGGCAGGCTACATAACTATTTGCCAGTGGTACAATACCCGATGCGCTCTAAATATGTATACAGGGATTATTGTAATCCGTTGTAGAGACTCCCAGTAAGCGTTAAATACTGAAGTCAGCGGAACAGCTTTGACCTTCTAATCTCCTAGGCAGGATTTACGACTATAGGCACGCGACGACTAATACACCACGACGACACAATGGTAATGGAGAAAAGGCAATCGCGGATCATTGTCTGATCACGGCGTTTGTAAGAAACGGTAACAATAGCTGGTGACAGCATTCAGTGTTCCGTGTCACTCCTTCAGTGTATTCACATAGATTATGTATGGTATGGTTTACTGTCAGTAGACATTATTTGATAAATAATCAACTTTGGTGCGTGTATTAGGAAGGAATATGTAACAATGGCTAAGGGAACGGGCGGGGGGTAATTTAAGAAGGCCGATATACCTGCTTTAATTTCTTTTATATCTTCGACTCCTGACGTTCATATTCCCCAACCGTATACCAAGTTAAATTATGTTGAATATATCTATTCTACCTTACAAATGTAACAAAATGCATTTTGTCTGACTAATAATATAAGTAGCGTAATATAGATAATCTAATATTTATAGTTTTCTATTCCTTCGCACGTGCAAATGCTCGTGCAAATGCTTGTCATTTGGTGTGTTCATTTCGGACATCTATCTGTCAAAGATTCTAAGTCTTGTGTCAGGGCCAGAGGAAACTCGGGCTAGGGTTAACCGGTTGCAGATGTATTCGTATCGTGGCACGTACACGTGTGATTTGTTGTCCACTAAATCATAATACATCGCCAACTTGTGTGGATTTATGAAATATTGTAAGCTGTCGACCGGTCGGGTTGATGTCATCCGTCGCTCCGTGGATTAGGAGATTGGAACACGTCGACTGCATATTCTGCCAACAAATACCACTTACAGCTTTTTTTGTGCTGGAGGAATCGCTCATCTGTTGATGCTGAAGTGGTAAAGGCATGGAATTCAGTATGTGTATATATCAGAAAGACTTTGAAGGATAAG